ATATGTGAAATATAACTTACGCAAGATTTGCATCAGTTTAGCTGCTTGAAACAAAAGTTCTATGTGGACAAGTAAAAAAGAAAAAAACGGGGTCCACAAAAATAAGGTATTGTCAAAGTTTATCTTTGAATTTTTCGTGTTTAAAAACTTTTTAGTGCTACATTCTAATAACATTATTCCATTATTCTAATTAACTTGTCCCCGAGACGGAGTAAATAGTAATGAGCACTAAGAACATGTTAATTGTGTTTCACGACTTGGATGAAACCTGAAGGCCAAAGTTTTCAAGTTTTAATTGTGTTTCCTGTGAGCTCTTGTCCTTTTTTCAAGAAATTCTAAAAGTGTGGGAATCTGTAGTTGTTCTGTAGACGTAAGAAAAATGTGTTGTGTGAAGTGAAATCACGTGAAAGGAACATCAATTGATTCAATTTGGAAAGTATTGACGACCACAATTGTACAAGCCCGACGTCGTACCATGCCGCGTAGATTACCAAAGAGACTGTACATTTTGGGATTTATGACTGTTTGAGTGGTGAAAGGTGAATTCGTATCGCGCCTTGGAGAGTTTGTCCATCACTGAATGTTGGCTTTTAAGTCGTGCTTTACGTGGCTTATCATCCAAGAATTAATTAAAATAACGCATGAAAAATCAGACCGCAAATACAACACCATGATTAAAACGTTAGTCATGTAAAGTATTAAGATTTGGAGCAACCAATAAGCATATATAAAAAATTGTCCGACACAAAGATGACCTATCCTATTAAGCTTTTGTCTCTCTAATTGTTTGATTTGAGAGATCTAAGTTATGTCACCATATTAAAGCAAAAAAAAAAAATTTCAAATATAGAGAAGTCACAATTAATCAGGGGATATGTTCACTAATAGTCCTAAAACTTATCGTGAAAGTGCAATTGAGTCTTAAAATTTTTAAAAAGTGCAATTGAGTCCTAAAACTTGTCAAATTGGTTCAATCTAGTCCTAAAGTTAACACCATCAATTTGTCTAACGAAAAAAGCTAATGTGACATTTTTAAATTAATTTCCCTCTCTTAGGGTGGACGTGGAGGGAGAGAAGGAACAAATATACACATGAAAATGCCATATAGACTGATTTTTTTTAATAAAAAAAAGCCAATTCAGATTAAAATTTTAATTATAAAAGCCAGGTAATTAATTTGGCCGGAATTTCACGCCGGTGGCACTTAAGTAATAGTTTTTTTCTTCGATTTGACACTAAAGTGAGCCGGCGAAAATTTTTGGCACTAAAGTGAGTGGCGTACACAACTTTTGGCACTTCTAATGTCATTGTTCTCCATGTTACGTGTACGGTATACGCCACTCAGAGGGTCCATTAGAGGAAAAATTGTCTAGCTTGTTGAGTGTAACGTAGGTTTTGGCTATTTCTAATGCTTTCGCGGTTATAATAAAGTGACTTGGTTTCTACACACGGATCCATAACTTGATCAAATTTCAAAATGTTTCCTTGCATGACCTGCTATACTTGCTATAGACACAGTGGAAACATGAATCCGAGCTCAATAGCGTGGGCTTGTAACTAAGTGAAAACATAGGCACAAAGTAAATATTCTTACAAACATCGCATACACGGACGTACTTTACAAATATCGCGTACACGGATGTTCTACTCCTAGAGTCGTAAATTTGGAGAAATCCCTCTCTCAGTATTAGTTCCTGAAAATAGCATGGAATGTGGTTTGCCGATGCTAATTGAAGATAGGACACTTAAAACATATGCAATGCACCGTACTTGTAAAGAAGACTCTATACAGGAGTCTTGGAAATAACCCAAAAGTGGAGAGGAAGCGCGGGGAGATCATTGGACATTCAACCTACTTCAACATGAACCAAGAAGTCCTGCAGATAGACAATTTTGAAGACCGGATTGACAAATGATTTCAACTTCAAATTGCCCAGATTGAAAAGTATAGGGCTGAATTAACCGCTATTCAAAAGATTTATGACCTTTTTTTTTTGGTAATTATCCCTTCGTACCCCTTTGCTTATCTATGTCAAAGTTCCACCCTAAACTTGTCGCCCACCGCGAATAAAGGGCAATCCAATTTGTTGCATTCCTTCCAAGATCATCTCAACGACAACCTTTACCTCCTCATACCGAAATGCATTTTGTGTGTTTCATTTCAAACGTTAGTATAAGCTATCTTTCTCGTGTTAAGTTACGTTTATGTTCTGTGTTATGTTTACGTTCCGTTTCTTGTCGAAAAACAATTTGATGTCAAAACTATATAATTCGATAGTTGCTGCTTCTCATGAAGGTTATCCAACCCACTTGTACTTTCTTTTCTTTTCTTTTTTAACATTTTCATTTCTCTCCATGGAAAAAGTTAGAAGGCCTAAATTTTGATTATCCAGAGTCGCCAATTGAAAACGATGAATCTTGAGGCCAAAAAGCGAACTCAAACAACTTACCCAACTCGATCTTCAATATAGCATGCTGAGCAAGCATTTGTTTTACGGAAAATCTTAAGATTTCAAAAATATTTTTCAAAAAATAATTGATTATATCGTTGAGAAAAATTAGTCAATGAAAGTTGCTGCTCCTCGAAAAACAAATTGATGTCGAAACTATAATTCGATAGTTGCTGCTCCTCATGAAGGTTATCCAACCCACTTGTACTTTCTTTTCTTTTCTTTTCTTTTTTAACATTTCCATTTCTCTCCATGGAAAAAGTTAGAAGGCCTAAATTTTGATTATCCAGAGTCGCCAATTGAAAACGATGAATCTTGAGGCCAAAAAGCGAACTCAAACAACTTACCCAACTCGATCTTCAATATAGCACGCTAAACGAGCATTTGTTTCACGGAAAATCTAAGATTTGAAAAATATTTTCCAAAAAATAATTGGTTATATCTTTTAGAAAAATGAATCAATGAAAAATATTTTCATTATCAACAACAATCTATGAATAATTATTTTTTTGGGTGATGAAAATATTTTTATTTATTCATTTTTTGTAAGCGATACATGCGATCATTTCATTTTGAAAATATTTTTTCTTGAATCTTGAAAGATGTTGAACAATTTCATGGTTAGTACTGGTCCCTCATTGCCAAAAGGCGTGGCATAATTTCGCAATCTTATGGAGTTAGGACTGGTCCCTCATTGGCAAAACGTGCGCAACCCACCTTCTTCCTCCTTTTCACGTGGAATGACAGCAAATCGTTACAAGAATGTGGTCACGACCCTTGTTCACGGTACATTCCCAACATGGCACTTTCCGCAAGTCATTATCGACCTTTTAAATGTTAAATCACGTCTTCTCGATCGATCGAAATACGGTTCTGTCTTTCACACTACTTCGTGTCTTTTAAGAACCTTTTTCTTCATTTCCGAAATCGAATAAGTCTCACAAGTATAGGGTAATTCTTTTTTTGTCTTGGACCATGTCGGCTACTAACGGATAATTGTGGTCAAAACACATAATGCGGTTGTTGACTGCAAGGTAGCTCCATTATTTTTTTTTTGGAAGAAAATTGTGTTCGTTACTCAAAATGATACATGAGAAGTAAAGCAATCCCAGAATACTACAAAACAAAGTCAAATTCATAAAATAAAGAGGATCAACAGAGCTCCAGTTAAGCACACACTTATTCCATAAAAATGGATATGTCAAGCAAAATAATCGGCGGCCGATCACTAGATTTCGTATCATTGTCAGTGATGAGTACACGCTGAAATTTTCTTCTCCAATAAGTACAGCGTTGCCAGTTGGCGGTGTGCGCTTAGGTTCGGCTTCCTCTACATAAGTGTCATACAGAGACAACTAAAACAAATTGAATAAACACAATTTTAACTTTCGAAAGAGCAAATCTTCATAGTTCAACGAGACGTCAGAGCTCCTGCGATCACCATTGAAACTTAAGGCAAAGAACGTGTACACAGACATAGCATAGGGGTAGTGAATCCCTGTAAACATTATTAAACTCTGAAATCTAAATTGGCAGAGTTCAAACTCTTAGATCTAGAACTAAACCAAGATAAGAGAGTTCCCAGATCTAGATCAGGAGAGAAGAAAAAAAAAGAAAATAACAAAAAATTCAAACAAAATCAACAAGAGAGAGAGAGAGGGGAGGGTTTGAGCTACTCTCCCCCAATGCTGAAGGTTGAAGAAGACAATGGAGAGAGAAGAGAGCGGGAGAGAAAAAGACTTTTTTTGTTATTATATGGCTGCGAGGTAGTTCATTGAGCATAAAATAGCTCTCCTCGGTTAGCATTTGTCATCGCGACGAGTCTAATAATTTTGAAAAGTGATTCCTCAATTGAATGTGGTATGGATACAAAATGTTTTGTCTTCGAATCTTTCCACATCCATTATTTGCCTTTTCAATAGTTGATTTTATGGATTTTTTTTAAGTTTTGCCTCATCTTCGTCTAAGGTAGCATTCTTTTACCTCCTCAAATTATGTATGCCTCTTGTTTCTTTCCCATAATCATCATATGCCCCTTTTTCAATTACTTCATGAAGGTTATGTATAAAAATTTGGAAAAGGTGCCTTCTTCCGGTTGATATGATAATAATTTAAAAGTTCAATACTAGTGCCAATTCGAAAATTTAAGTATATATATATATATATATATATATATATATATATATATATATATATTTATACATATACGTTCCACTTTACTTTTTTCAAAAAGCATGAAGTCAAGCCAAATTGTTACTTATTAAGCTCATGTCTTAATTACAATAGTTACAAGGAAGATAATGTATTTCGTAGATGCATTGTACTATTCCAAAATAATAGATTGAGCTAATCACGACATAAAAAAAAGAACATATTTAATCACAATACTGACGCTTAGTTATCATCGAAAAAAATATTATAAGACGGTCAATTTATTAAATGGTGACCCAAATTATGTAATTCGAAAAATCGGAAACACTTCCAATCGCTGCGACCTAGTTTTAAAAAAAAAACACTGAAAATCACACGTCACAATCATACAATTAAATCATGCTAAGTTCTTTATCAGCAACTTGTGGCGTTGGTCAACGACTTGAACGTCACGGATGAACCCCCGGGCAAGCTCCCGCGCTCCAGGTCGAACGTGTCGTAGCGGAGGAACAGCTCCACCAACGTTACCCTGTACACGAGCAGCACCAGATCCTTCCCCGCGCACTGCTTGTTCCCCACCGTCGGATCATCGATCTCCCGGCCGTTCGACCAGTAGACGTACCTCAGCAGCTTCTCCCCCTCCCCGACGAACCTGTCGCCCACGAACTCCTCCGGGTCGTCGAAGACCCTCGGATCCTTGGTCACGAACGGCTGGTACCCGAACACCATCTCGCCCTTCTTGATCTCGAAGGCCGCGTCGTGGCTCCGGACCACCATGTCCTGCCTCGCCTTCCCGTACTGGAACGGGACCGGAGGGTCGATCCGGAGGGCTTCGTACACGACCGACTTGGTCAGGCTCATCCTGTCCAGGGCGGCGAGGGTCACCCCGCCTTCTGACTCAACGGTCGACCGGATCTCCCTCGCGAGCCGGCGGTGCAGGTCCTCGCCTCCCGACCCGACCCACTTGATCAAGATGGGCAATGTGGCTTTCATGCCACCATAGGCGTTGAACCCGGCAAGGAACACTAGGTTGTGGCATGCCTCGTCTCTATCAATTCCTAGCCTCTCGGCTTCATCAAAAACGGAAGTCGCATGCTCGCTAAATGCATGGTAAAGCTTCTTGTAAGATGATTTGATTAAGAGTGGAGGTAGTGGGAAAGTGTGCAAAATGACATCTTCCAAGAAATTTAGGACCATGTTGTTAAACCGTAGGGACAGTAATGGGGCAAGTTGGAGAAATAGCCAGAGGTCGAACATGGTTGGCCCTTTGTTCCCTAGGATTGTGCTTGAGGGCTTTTGGTCACATAGTAGCCTAAACACAAAGTTGAAGGACATTTTGTCGTTGAGGGAGTTAAAGGACGCTTTCCCTTTGCTCGATAGCTCGTCCTCTAGGTTGACAAAGAGATCCGACAAGCAGCTCCTGAGGGTCGGGATGAACATGTCGCACCGAGCCGCGAGAAGGGACAAGAACCAGCACTTGATGGCGTCGTGCTTGGGCTCGGACGGGTCGAGAAAGGCGTGTTAGCGTGAGCTATCTTCTAGAGCCAAAATAGGAAACTTCTTATTGTTTTATACTCTTTCTATGTATATTTCCTATTTCTATGTATATCCCCTGTTTTGTAGGTCAATTAGGGTTGATTCTTTTCTTTGTATATATATGTACTTATAGCCTTGTAAACGTAAGCTGAAATATAGAAATTACAGGAAAATTTTTAGAATTCTTTATGTTTCTACATGGTATCAGAGCCACCAATCAAGGGACTCTATACTCGATCCGATCAATCAGACTCCATTGCCGCGACCTTCGTCGCTGCTCCGACCAGATTTCTTGAAGATCACCGCAACCGTGCTGCATCACCCTATGGCAGACACAAACCCGACTGGCAATGTTCTTCCCTTGGTAGCACAAGAGGGAGCTTCGAATACTGATGCTCTTATTGAGCGTTTGACCCAGGTCCTATCCCAACATGTTCCACAATCTCATGTTGAGACTCCGGCTCCCTCGATTGCTGTCAAGTTAGATGGAAGCAACTATAGTCTTTGGTCCCAAGTTGTCGAGATGTACATCTCTGGCAAAGACAAGTTGGGATATATTACTGGGGTTCTTCCTCAACCCTCTCCGAATGATCCTGGCTTCCGAAAGTGGAAGACTGACGATTCAACTGTGAAGGGCTGGCTTATCAATTCCATGGATCCTGCACTGATTGGCAACTTCATCCGATACCCCACCGCAAAAGCGGTTTGGGATGCGGTGGCTACAACATTCTTTGATGGTGCCGACGTCTCCCAGGTGTATGATTTAAAGCGACGATTGACCCGATTGAAGCAGGCAGGCGGACCCACTGAAAAATATTATAATGACCTGCAAGGACTTTGGCGAGAAATTGATTTTCGCCGGCCTAATCCTATGACCTGCGCTCATGATATTGACATATACAACACTTTAGTTCAGGAAGATCGTGTTTATTTGTTCTTGGATGGCTTGGATGATCGCCTCGACAAGGTTAGGGCTGATGTATTGCAGATGCAACCATTTCCTACGGTTGAACAAGCCTACGCACGAGTAAGAAGAGAAGATGTGCGCCAGGCCGTTATGATGGCACACCCACAGACTCCCATTGCTGCTGCTATGGTGTCGCATGGCCGTAAAACAGGCTCAAAATTTCCAGAATTCGGCTCCGGACATGCTACTTTACAAATGGTTCCTAGTTCTACTCCGCCTGGGGGAGGGCGCTCTATCTCTCGTCTGAGAGCTAAGTCGCAACCGCTAGCAGCAGGGGGTTGCACTCACTGCGGGAATTCTCGACATACAAAGGAGACCTGTTTCAAGTTGCATGGCTATCCTGAATGGTGGAAAGAATTGCAGGCAAAAAGGAAGGCTGACAATCCGACGGGTAGAGGACAAGCTTCCTTGGCCATAGGTGATTCATCGTTATCTTTGGTGCTGCAGGTAGACTCCACCGCTGCTCCTGATTCCGATCTTACAGGTAACAATGGGTTTGTCCTTGTCAATACTTCTCAAGCAGGAGGTAAAGATGGGTGGATTGTTGATTCAGGCGCTATTGATCACATGACACCCCATCCTGATGATCTTTTGCGCCACACCGTTCCGAGGAGACAACATATATATAATGCCAATGGTCGTCGTTTTCCTGTGTTGGGGGTTGGCAGTGTTGAACTTTCCCCATCTTTATCATTATATCATACTTTGCTAGTGCCATCTTTATCTAACCAACTACTCTCTGTTGGACAAATCACTGCTGAATTGAATTGCAGCGTTATTATGTATCCCTCATTTTGTTTATTTCAGGATATCCTCACGAAGGAGATTATTGGACGTGGTACTAAGAGGAAGGGATTGTACTTTGTTGATGACTTTACTGAAAGCCGAGCATATTACACCCGCAATCAGTCTACTGCTAAGGAGAAAGAAATTTGGTCATGGCACCGTCGCTTAGGACACCCTTCTTTTGGGTATTTACAGAAATTATTTACAGATCTGTTTAGTAGTTTATCAGATTCTGAATTTCATTGTGAGACCTACATCTTGGCGAAAAGCCATCGTGCTTCTTTTCCATTGAGTTTTAATAAGAGCCCAACTCCTTTTTCATTAATACAGTCGGATGTGTGGGGTGCTTCACCAATTGTTACTATGTTTGGTATTCGTTGGTTTGTAACTTTTGTGGATGACTGTACAAGGATGACCTGGTTATATTTAATGAAACATAAAGATGAAGTAGGGACAATCTTTCGTGTATTTCACCGCATGGTCATGACTCAATTTGGAGCTCAAATCCGTATCCTTCGCAGCGACAACGGCGGCGAATATATTAACCAACACCTCACAGGATATTTTCAAGACCATGGATTAATTCACGAGACCTCTTGCACTCAGACACCCCAGCAAAATGGTGTTGCCGAACGGAAAAACCTTCATATCCTAGAGACAGCGAGGGCACTTCTAATGGGTGGGCAGGTTCCGAATCGGTTTTGGGATGCGGCTGTGGTTACTGCCATGCATCTAATGAATCGCATGCCCTCCAGCGTATTGGCATTCCAAATCCCGCTTTAGGCACTTTCGACGCATGTCTCACTTCTTTCAGTCTTGACTTTACCTCCCAAGGTGTTTGGGTGTGTGGCCTACGTCCATCTGCATAAAAATCAGCGAACAAAGCTCGACCCATGTGCTGTCAAGTGTGTTTTTCTTGGCTATGGAATCCACCAGAAGGGATATCGCTGCTACAATCCGGACACAAAGAAAACTCATGTGACCATGGACGTTACATTTGTTGAATCTGAACTCTTCTTTCCTGCCACCAATTGTACCTTTCAAGGGGAGATCCATGGTGAAAGGGTAAATTGGTGGGAAGGTGGCTTGATGGCAGGGGTTAGCGATGCATCTAACTCACGGCAGCAACTTCTTAATGAAGATGACCAGCAGACTATTTTGTTACAAGAGGCACAAGAACAACCTCAAGAGCAGTCCTCTCTTCCTCAAAATATCCCCTCTTTAGTACCCGACCATTCTCCTGAGGATACTCCTGAGATAAGCTCTCCTATCACACATAATTCTCTTGTTGATACTGATGAGGTTGTTGGTTATAAATTGCCCGACAGATACAATCGAGGCAAGGCTCCTAATAGCTACTCACCAGATGTGGAGGAACGAAGGTCAAAGTACCCGATTACCAATTATGTTTCGACAAGGAGATTGTCGGAACACTTGAAGGCGTTTGTGGCCAATGTCTCCGCAATTCAAGTTCCTAGTGGAGTACAAGAAGCCTTGAGGGATCCCAAGTGGGTTCAAGCAATAAAAGAGGAGATGGAAGCCTTGCAGAAAAATAAGAACTGGAGATTGGTAGAGTTGCCGAAGGGGAAGAAGCCAGTGGGGTGAAAGTGGGTCTTCACTGTCAAATACAAAGCAGATGGGTTAGTTGAGAGGTACAAGGCACGACTGGTAGCAAAGGGATATACCCAGACCTATGGTGTGGACTACCAAGCAACATTCTCTCCAGTTGCGAAGCTGAATACCGTACGGGTTTTGATGTCACTTGCTGCGAACTTGGATTGGCCTTTGCACCAATTTGATGTGAAGAACGCGTTTCTTCATGGAGATCTAGAGGAAGAAATCTACATGGAAGTCCCACCTGGGTATGCGTGTGTTGACCAGTCAAATGTGGTGTGCAAACTTAAGCGATCATTATATGGGTTAAGGCAATTACCCCGCGAGTGGTTTGGTCAGTTTAGCTCAGCGATGAAGAGGTATGGATACACTCAAAGTAATTCTGATCATACGTTATTCTTAAAACGTAGACAGGACAAAGTGACAGCATTGATTATATACATGGATGAACTTGTCCCCGAGACGGAGTAAATAGTAATGAGCACTAAGAACATGTTAATTGTGTTTCACGACTTGGATGAAACCTAAAGGCCAAAGTTTTCAAGTTTTAATTGTGTTTCCTGTGAGCTCTTGTCCTTTTTTCAAGAAATTCTAAAAGTGTGGGAATCTGTAGTTGTTCTGTAGACGTAAGAAAAATGTGTTGTGTGAAGTGAAATCACGTGAAAGGAACATCAATTGATTCAATTTGGAAAGTATTGACGACCACAATTGTACAAGCCCGACGTCGTACCATGCCGCGTAGATTACCAAAGAGACTGTACATTTTGGGATTTATGACTGTTTGAGTGGTGAAAGGTGAATTCGTATCGCGCCTTGGAGAGTTTGTCCATCACTGAATGTTGGCTTTTAAGTCGTGCTTTACGCGGCTTATCATCCAAGAATTAATTAAAATAACGCATGAAAAATCAGACCGCAAATACAACACCATGATTAAAACGTTAGTCATGTAAAGTATTAAGATTTGGAGCAACCAATAAGCATATATAAAAAATTGTCCGACACAAAGATGACCTATCCTATTAAGCTTTTGTCTCTCTAATTGTTTGATTTGAAAGATCTAAGTTATGTCACCATATTAAAGCAAAAAAACTTTTTTTCAAATATAGAGAAGTCACAATTTATCAGGTGATATGTTCACTAATAGTCCTAAAACTTATCGTGAAAGTGCAATTGAGTCCTAAAATTTTCAAAAAGTGCAATTGAGTCCTAAAACTTGTCAAATTGGTTCAATCTAGTCCTAAAGTTAACACCATCAATTTGTCTAACGAAAAAAGCTAATGTGACATTTTTAAATTAATTTCCCTCTCTTAGGGTGGACGTGGAGGGAGAGAAGGAACAAATATACACATGAAAATGCCATATAGACTGATTTTTTTTAATAAAAAAAAGCCAATTCAGATTAAAATTTTAATTATAAAAGCCAGGTAATTAATTTGGCCGGAATTTCACGCCGGTGGCACTTAAGTAATAGCTTTTTTCTTCGATTTGGCACTAAAGTGAGCCGGCGAAAATTTTTGGCACTAAAGTGAGTGGCGTACACAACTTTTGGCACTTCTAATGTCATTGTTCCCCATGTTACGTGTACGGTACACGCCACTCAGAGGGTCCATTA